AGTCCTTAACACCTTAGCATTACACTAATTTATCAGATTTAACAAGGATAGACACCTGAGGGAATGGGACACAGAATAGATACACTTTGATGGGAAGGGGTGGTGGGAAGAGAAGAACTTGGAGTGTTTCTTGGTGGGAGCCACACTGGCATTTGGGGCAGACAATTCTTTCCTGTGTGGGTCTCTCCTACATATTGCAAGACTATAAGCCTCTCTGGCCACCACCCACTAAATGCTGGTAGTGACTCCCATTTATAACACTTAAACCAATATTCCTCTCATTTTCAAATGCCCCTGAGGAGATGAAGCACCCTCACTCCACCAACATCTGAAAAGCATTTGATATAATGCTATCTGCAGAGGCCAAGTTGGAAGAATCTGAGCGGCCATGGAATATAAAGATACTAGGTTCTAGAAAGAGGTTGTCCACATTATATGTGTGTTAGAAAGGTGAAGATGGCACAGGGTTTCTTCCACTGTGGCTATTCTGGAAGAGTAAGTGTTGTTTGAGAGACTCATGCTAAGTAGGGTCAATGCCTGTTCTGTTCATGGGCAGGTGAAGTCTCTGTACTTTTACCAGCGACTAGCTGGGTGGTAGAGGAGGCCATTCATGTGATCAGAGGGGAACCAAAACTTCTATGCTAGCCTGCCTGTTCTGGGGCCTAGAAGCTTCAGCTGTGACTCCCTGCTGAGGGACTGACTATCTGAATCTGTCCACGTCTTCTGAGAGGAGGGCTTCTCTAAGAGAAATACCATGCTAATGAATACCCTGGCTCCTGGTCAGAAGACATATGGAATACTTCCATAGCCCCCATTCACAAAGGGACCCCATGGGGGGGATAGTCAGTAAGAGATGATATTCTCTCCTGGGTACTGAGAAATACTAGGTCTTGGAATCAACTGCTCCTTTAACACAATGATCTTGGGGGAGGAAAAGAAGATGAACTTATGACAAGAGTTGACCACTGCCCTGCTCAAGGCAGCCACAGGTCCCAAAGCCTTTTGGAGGAAGCTGAAAGGAATTCCAGACATGGGCATGAGAAGGCAAACTCAAGACTGTCCCAGCTTTGCCAGGGGCTTGTGCTGATCTGAATTGTTACCAAACTCAGACCCTCCCATCCTACTCCTAAAAGCTGGTGCCATTGTCCTAGAGACCCCAAACAATGAAGGGGTCCAGTACAGGTGTTCTTGCCTGACAGGTCCAACTACGTCTTTCCCAAGCTTCTCTTGCATGCATCATTTTTAGACACTGACTGACTGCCTTTTCCTTCATACCCTCACTATCGAGGCATGGGCTGTGCTGTGTTTGATCAGAAGTGGGTGAAAGCTTTCGACAAAATTCAACACCCATTCATGATAAAAACCCTGCAGACAGTAGGCATAGAGGGAACTTTCCTCAACATAATAAAGGCCACATATGACAAACCCACAGCCAACATCGTCCTCAATGGTGAAAAACTGAAAGCATTTCCACTAAGATCAGGAACAAGACAAGGTGGCCCACTCTCACCACTCTTATTCAACATAGTTTTGGAAGTTTTAGCCACAGCAATCAGAGAAGAAAAGGAAATAAAAGGAATCCAAATCGGAAAAGAAGAAGTAAAGCTGTCACTGTTTGCAGATGACATGATACTATACATAGAAAATCCTAAAGATGCTACCAGAAAACTACTAGAGCTAATCAATGAATTTGGTAAAGTTCAGGATACAAAATTAATGCACAGAAATCTCTGGCATTCCTATACACTAATGATGAAAAATCTGAAAGTGAAATCAAGAAAACACTCCCATTTACCACTGCAACAAAAAGAATAAAATATCTAGGGATAAACCTACCTAAGGAGACAAAAGACCTGTATGCAGAAAATTATAAGACACTGATGAAAGAAATTAAAGATGATACAAATAGATGGTGAGATATACCATGTTCTTGGATTGGAAGAATCAACATTGTGAAAATGACTCTACTACCCAAAGCAATCTACAGATTCAATGCAATCCCTATCAAATTGCCACTGGCATTTTTCACAGAACTAGAACAAAAATTTCACAATTTGTATGGAAACACAAAAGACCCCGAATAGCCACAGCAATCTTGAGAACGAAAAACGGAGCTGGAGGGATCAGGCTCCCTGACTTCACACTATACTACAAAGCAACAGTAATTAAGACAGTGTGGTTCTGGCACAAAAACAGAAAGATAGATCAATGGAGATCAATGGGACAGGATAGAAAGCCCAAAGATAAACCCACGTACATATGGTCACCTTATCTTTGATAAAGGAGGCAGAAATGTACAGTGGAGAAAGGACAGCCTCTTCAATAAGTGGTGCTGGGAAAACTGGACAGGTACATTTAAAAGTATGAGATTAGATCACTCCCTAACACCATACACAAAAATAAACTCAAAATGGATTAAAGACCTAAATGTAAGGCCAGAAACTATCAAACTCTTAGAGGAAAACATAGGCAGAACACTCTATGGCATAAATCACAGCAAGATCCTTTTTGACCCACCTCCTAGAGAAATGGAAATAAAAACAAAAATAAACCAATGGGACCTAATGAAACTTCAAAGCTTTTGCACAGCAAAGGAAACCATAAACAAGACCAAAAAACAACCCTCAGAATGGGAGAAAATATTTGCAAATGAAGCAACTGACAAAGGATTAATCTCCAAAATTTATAAGCAGCTCATGCAGCTCAATAACAAAAAAACAAACAACCCAATCCAAAAATGGGCAGAAGACCTAAATAGACATTTCTCCAAAGAAGATATACAGACTGCCAACAAACACATGAAAGAATGCTCAACATCATTAATCATTAGAGAAATGCAAATCAAAACTACAATGAGATATCATCTCACACCAGTCAGAATGGCCATCATCAAAAAAATCTAGAAACAATAAATGCTGGAGAGGGTGTGGAGAAAAGGGAACACTCTTGCACTGCTGGTGGGAATGTGAATTGGTACAGCCACTATGGAGAACAGTATGGAGGTTCCTTAAAAAACTACAAATAGAACTACCATATGACCCAGCAATCCCACTACTGGGCATATACCCTGAGAAAACCATAATTCAAAAAGGATCATGTACCAAAATGTTCATGGCAGCTCTATTTACGATAGCCCGGAGATGGAAGCAACCTAAGTGCCCATCATCGGATGAATGGATAAAGAAGATGTGGCACATATATACAATGGAATATTACTCAGCCATAAAAAGAAACGAAATTGAGCTATTTGTAATGAGGTGGATGGACCTAGAGTCTGTCATACAGAGTGAAGTAAGTCAGAAAGAGAAAGTCAAATACCGTATGCTAACACATATATATGGAATTTAAGGAAAAAAATGTCTTGAAGAACCTAGGGGCAAGACAGGAATAAAGACACAGACCTACTAGAGAATGGACTTGAGGACGTGGGGAGGGGGAAGGGTAAGCTGGGACGAAGTGAGAGAGTGGCATGGACATATATACGCTACCAAATGTAAAATAGATAGCTAGTGGGAAGCAGCCACATAGCACAGGGAGATCAGCTCAGTGCTTTGTGACCACCTAGAGGGGTGGGATAGGGAGGGTGGGAGGGAGGGAGACGCAAGAGGGAAGAAATATGGGGACATATGTATGTGTATAACTGATTCACTTTGTTATAAAGCAGAAACTAGCACACCATTGTAAAGCAATTATACTCCAATAAAGATGTAAAAAAAAAAATGTGGGCGGATCTGAGAACTGAATGCTACATGGTGTACTGCCCATGTAGAAGAATATTACTATTCTACCATGTTTTGAAGAGAGGCACAGAGTGATTCAGATACTTGTCTAAGGTAACCAGTACTGAGCAAAATTGTTGAACTTTGATTAGAGGGTGGCATTGATAGTCTCCCCTTGAACGATGTTTCCTGCTAAACAAATATTCAGGACCTTTGGTAAAGACAAAAGACCAAAAGACCAGTGATGGCTGAAGAGACACTGGCCCTCCTTCTTCTCCACGTCTGCCCTTGGGCCTCCTCTAGCCCGCTCAACTCGCCTCTCCCTCTGTCTTTCTATAATCAGAACCCTTGCTTTCCTTTAAGGCCCAACTCCACTATATCCAAACCACACTGATTTGTCTCTTCTCTGAACTCCTTGTTTGGATCATACATCCTTCTGAAAACCTGATGAAAGCTACAGACTTTTTCCCTCAAGGGATATGTGTTGGCATACAAGCTTGCACACTCACATGCGTGAGTGCATGCACATGCGTACACGTGTATATACATGCACACACACACACATACTTTTGAGTATACCATTTTAGTCCCTGGACTAATTTAAAGAAGGCATTACCCTTAGGGCCAGATGAAAAAAATCTAGGAATAGGCAGCTTGCAAGTAGAATCATCCTCCTCCTTTGACTTTCACCCACCCTCCTCCAGCAACCTCTTCCCCAGACCCTAGCCTCCCCTCCTGTCTCTTATCCTCTAGCCTCCAGATGCCTTTTATTTCCCAAGGTTCATTACTACTTTGCCTTTATCCACCCACCTGGAGAGTCTCATCCCATCAGGACTCAGTCTGTCACAATGAGCTAGCTCACTTGACAGGCAGAGCCCAGATATTAAGTTTGACAGAGATTTGCAGATCAACTAGGACATATATTTGAACTGGGGTTTTCTGGAAATAATAGGGAGAGATCTGGGGGATGGGAGAAGCCCTTTCAGAACTACTGCTCATTTCACCTGTGAGAAAGACCCTTCCTGTCTACTCTAGAATGCATGATATACTTGATGTTGACCTACACAGAATTGAGATAACAGGCTGTAACTGAATATGAGGAGAGGACAAAAGCCAAGTCACTTAGATGATGATCTTCCCTAAACAGCTATCTTCAAACACCTTGCATCTGAGGTTCTGCTCCTGTTGCCACTGGCTTACCATTCCTTCTTCTCACACTGACCCCAACAGTTTATGTCAGAACTACCAAAGGAGAGGAGTTTAGGGGGAAGAAGTCCTTACAGAAACTGGCTGTGACTCCTTATGGAAGAATGTCCACTGGATGGAAAGCTTGTCCAGTGAGGCCACAGTGGTGGTGTAGGTGCAGATGAGAGTGACATTAGATCCAACAGTCACATTCACAAAATCGTCTGGGATGGTCACTTGCACTCCACGAACTGGACCTGAAAAGATAATCATCAAAAAACGATGGTACACACTCACATTCTGATGACATTTTTTTCATTACAAAGCACATTCAATGACATCTTATTTGGGGAATCCAAGGTAAGGAGAATGTAGAATGAACCATATAGGAAAGTCGAGCAAGCAACTGGCATGGGGTAGGGGAGTTTCTAACAAATTACAATGTGAAGATGTTCAACTCCTACGTGATGGTGAGGTAATAACACTGAACTGGGAATTTCTTCTGTGTAAGGATGGCCTGACAAAGAGGTTCTTAAAGCGTTGTCCAAGGACCCAAAAAGTCCATGAGTATGGAGAACAACCAATTCAGTTTGCCCAGGGCTGATGAGGTTCTGTAGATATGGCACTTTCAGTTTTAAAACCAGGTGAGTCTCAGGCAAGCTATACTGGTTTTGCCAGGACTTTCACTGCTTAAACCAGGAAAGTCCCAGTAAAACTAGATGAGTTGGTCATCCTAGCCCTGAGACCATTTTGGGGAGGCTACAAGATCAAAATGATGTTCATAATAATACTAAGTTGTTATTTTTTTCACTCTCATCTTCTCATGAGTGTACAACGGAGTGTTCCAGCAGTTACATGACAAGTAATGATATTCCTCTAGTGGCTAATGGAATGCATGTTTGTGTATTTTTGTGTTTAAATTTCTTTTAGTTTTACTTTCTAATACAATAAATATAGATAGAAATAACCTACATAGCAAAAAGTCTTTTGGGCCCTCAACAATATTTAATTGAAAATTTTATTGGGATAATAGTAGATTCACACGCAATTCTAAGAAATAAGATGGAGATCCCATGTACACTTTACTCAGCACCCCCATGGTAACTTATTTTGTAAAACTACTGTATAATATCACAACCAGGACACTGACATTGATACAGTCCCCTGATTTTATTCATTTCAGGTTTCTCCAGTTTTACTTGTACTCCTGTGTGTGTATGCACTTAATTCTACACAATTTTATCACATGTGTAGGTTTGTGTATCCACAACCACAGTCAAGATACTGAACAGTCCACCACCACAAAGATCCCTCATATTTCCCTTCCATAATCGCACTCACCTCCCTCCTGTACCCCATCCCTGATCCTAAGCATTGGCAACCACTAATCTGTCTTCCATTTCTAAAATTTTGTCATTTCATAAATGTTACGTAAATGGAAGCATGGTAACCTTTTTGCTGATTAGCTTTTTTTCACTCAGCATAATTACCTAGGAATTCATCCAAATTGTTCTGTGTATCAGTAGTTCATTGCATTTTATTGCTTAGTAACATTCAATGTTATGTATGTACCATCATTTGTTTAACCATTTACCCATTTAGGGACATCTGGGTTGTTTCTAGTTTTTAGCAGTTGAATAAAACTCCAACAAACATTCATGTACAGATTTTTGTATGAGGATAAATTCCCATGTCTCTGGGATAAATTCCCAAGAGTGCAATTGCTGGGTTAGATGGTAGTTACATGTTTAGTTTTACTAAAAGTAAAAGCAAAAAACAGCCACACTGTTTTCCAAAGTGTATGAGTGGTTCAGCCTCTCCACATCCTCATCAGCATTTGGTGCTGTCACTATTTTCTAATTTAGCCATTCTAATAGGTGCGTAGTAATATATTATTGTGATTTTAATTTGCATTCCCCTAATGCAAATTAATGATGCTAAATAACTTTTCCTGTGATTATTTGCCATTTGTATATCTTCCTCAGCAAAATGTCTTTTGCCCATTTTCTGATTGCTTAATTTTTTACTGTTGAATTTTGAGAGTTCTCTATACAACCTAGATGCTAGTCTTTTGTTGGGTAGAGCGAACATTATTTCTTCCTTTCCTATCTGTATGTCTTTAATTAATTTTTATTGCCTTATTACAGCAGCTATAACTTCCAGTATTTTATTGAATAAGAGAGTTGAGAAAGTAGACATCCTTGCCTTGTCCCCAGTCTTAGGGGAAAAGCATTCAGTATTTCACCATTAAATACAATGTTAGCTATAGGATATTTGTAGATGTTCTTTATCAAGTTAAGGGAATTCTGCCATGGGTTGAATTGGGGCCCCCAAAAGGATACGAACAAGTGCTAATCCCTGGTGCCTGTGAATGTGATCTTATTTGGAAACAGGGTCTTTGCAATGTAATTAATGATGACATAGATCACCCTGGATTTAAGGTGGGGCCTAAACCCAATGACTGCTGTCATTATAAGAACAAGGAGAGTGAGATTTGTCACACAGATACATAGAAGGAAAGGCCATGTGAAGATGGAGTCAGAAATTGGAGTGAAGCATATACAAGCCAGGAACGCCAAGAATTGCTAGCAGCCAGCTAGGAGAAAGGCATGGCATGGATTCTCCAGAATCAATTCTGCCAGCACTTTGACTTTGGAATTTTGGCCTCCAGAACGGTGAGAGAATAAATTTGTCTGTTTTAAGCCACCCAGTTTATGGCGATTTGTTGCAGCAGCTTTTGGAAACTAACACATCGTCTATTCCTAACATGCTAAGAGGTTTTGGGTTTTTTGTTTTGGTTTTTTGGTTTCTCTCTTTCATGAATGGGTGTTGGATTTTGTCAGGTACTTTTTCTGTATCAATTGATATGCTCTTTTTTTTTTTAAGTTAGCCTGTTGATATGAGAGATTACACTGAATGGTTTATCCCAACTATGCAAGGCCGGTTCAACACTTGAAAATTGATTAATGTAACTCATCACAGCAATAGGCTAAAGAAAAATATCACATGATCATATCAATTTATTCAGAGAAAGCGTTTGACAAAATCCAACATGCATTCATGATAAAAGTTCTCAATAAACTAGGAACAGAGGACTTCTTCAACTTGATGAAGAACATTTACAAAAACCCTACAGCTAACATCATACTTAATGGTGAAAAACTAGAAGCTTTCCGACTAAGGTCAGGAACAAGGCAAGGATATCCCCTTTCATCACTCCTTTTCAACCTCATACTGGAAGCCTAGCTAATGCAATAAGACATAAAAAGGGAATAAAAGGTATACAGATTGTGAAGGAAACAAGAGATGACATGACTGCCTATGTAGAAAATCCAAAAGAATCAGCAAAAATCTCCTGAAACTAATAAATGATTATTGCAAATTTTCGGGATACAAGGTTAATGTACAAAACTTTATCGCTTTCCTATCTATAAACGGGACTCTACTCAATATTCTGGGATAACCTATATGGGAAAAGAACCTTAAAAAGAATGAATATATGTATATGTATAACTGAATCACTTTGCTGTACACCTGAAACTAACACAACTTTGTAAATCAACTATACTATAATAAAATTAAAATCAAAAAAACACAATACAATTTACATTAGCACTCCCAGAAATGAAATACTTCAGTGTAAGTCTAACAAAATACGTACAAGATCTGTATGAGGAAAACTAAAAAATTCTGATGAAAGAAATCAGACAAGAATTAATAAATGGAGAGATATTCCATGTTTAAGGAAGACTCAATATTTCCGAGATATCAGTTCTTCCCAACTTCATCTATGGACTCAATGTAATCCCAGTCAAAATCCCAGCAAGTTATTATGTGGATAGCAACAAAGTTATTCCAAAGTTTATATGGCGAGGCAAAAGACCCAGAATAACCAAGACAAATACTGAAGGAGAAAAACAAAGTTGGAGGACTGACACTAACCAACTTAAAGACTTCCTATAAAGCTATAGTAATCAAGACTGTGTAATACTGATGAAAGAATAGACAAATAGATCAATGGAACAGAATAGAGAGGCCAGAAGTAGACCCACATAAATATAGTCAACAGATCTTTGACAAAGGAGCAAAGGCAATACAATGGAGGAAAGAAAATCTTCCCAACAAATGGTTCTGGAACAACTGGATTTCCATGTGCCAAAAAAAAAGGATCTAGACATAGAACTTACACATTTCACAAAAATTATCTCAAAATGGATCACAGATCTAAATGTAAAAAGCAAAGGTATAAAACTCCTACAACATAACTTAAGAGAAAATCTAGATGACCTTGGGTTTGATGATGACACCAAAAGCATGATATTTACAGAAGACAAAGATAATAAAGGACCATTATCCAAAATATACAAAGAACTCTTAAAACTCAATAATAAGAAAGCAAACAACCAGATTATAAAATGGCAAAGACCTTAAAGAGACAGCTCACCAAAGGTGCTATATAGATGGCAAATGAGCATATGAAAAGATGCTCCACATTTTATGTCAGCAGGGAAATGCAAATTAAAACAACACTACTGGGGGACTTCCCTGGTGGTCCAGTGGTTAAGACTCTGCGCTTCTAATGGAGGGGGGACAGGTTCGATCCCTGGTCGGGGAACTAAGATTCCACATGCCGCATGGCGCAACCAAAATTTTTTTTAAATTTTTAAAAAAAATCCACAACAGTGACACACTGAATGCTGATGAGGATGTGGAGCACCAGCAACATTTGTTGCTGGTGGGAATGTAAAATGGTACAGGCATTTTGAGATAGTTTGGTGGTTTCTTACAAAACTAAACATACTCTTACCATACTATCCAGCAATTGTGTTCCTTGATATTTAACCAAAGAAGTTGAAGACTTATGTCTACACAAAAATCTGCACACAGGTTTATAGCAGCTTTGTTTATAACTGCCAAAACTTGGAAGCAACCAAGATGTCCTTCAGTAAGTGAATGGATTGATAAACTGTGGTACATCCAGACACTGACAATATTATTCAGTGCTAAAAAGAAATGAGCTATCAAGCCATGAAAAGACATGGAGGAACATTAAATGCATATTCCTAAGTGAAAGAAGCCAATTTGAAAAGGCTACACACTGTATGATTCCAACTATATGACATTGTGGAAAAGGCAAAACTATGCAGACAGTAAAAAGATGAGCGGTTGACAGGGGTTGGTGTAGAGGAAGACATCAATAAGTGGAGCACAGAGGATTTTTAGGGGAGTGAAAATACTCTGTACAATAATATAATGGTAGATACATGTGATTATACATTTGTCAAAACCTACAGGCATTGTGTTAGAAAACTCCTACTTAAATCTTTTATTTTAGCAGACAGTCACTTTTGTTTTATGTTTTGCACACAGGTCTTGGCCTATTTTTGCATATTTCTAATGCCAGTTTAATTTTTGTGGTGTTGTTTTGGTCTGTTTGGTTATCTGGGGTCACCAGGGCTTCTACTTATCCCTGACCCCGTCGCCTGAGCACGTGGAAGCATTTCCCTAGGTCAGGTTTCTGCGTATCTCTCAGTGGGAGACAGGTATGGCAGGACACTCCTATTGGAACCCCCAGCTGCCCTGGTGTCTCTTTGTGGGGGAGGAGAGACAAAGAGCCTTCTAGAACCAGATACTTTCTGTGGTTTCATCCCTCTTATCTGTTCCACCCTCCCTCCTCAGTATCGCTAGGTGAAAGTAGGGAGTCTCAGGCCCAGTGAGGAAGGAAATCGCTTCTTTTGTCTACTATCGTTGGTGGGTCTCCTGATGATTGCCCCTTGCCAGTGGTGTTGAGCTCATCTGATGTTAGAGGGACTCCCACTCAGTTTGGGGGAAGAATCAGTCTCCCTGTGGGCTGCTATGTTAGGATCAAGAAATGCCAGGACTGGGGCCCCTTCCTCCTTTGGGTAAACAGGCATAAGATACCCTGCCTCTCTGTAGTTCCCAGGGTCCAAGCCAGTTTGCTTTCTTCTTACTATCTTTCAGAGTTTTCCCTTGGTTGTCTCTTGCATTATTTGCAGGGAGGCTTTACACTTGTGCTTAGTAAGGAGAAGCAAGGAGACACAGATCTATGTCATTTTGCCCAAACCAGAAATCTCCCTCAAGATTTAAGACTGTAAAAGGGGCCTAAGAGAACTATTGGCCTTAGAAAAGGATCTGCTTCCCATACGATTTAGAGGAATACCAAAGAGCTCCCTACCCCAAAATCCAGCCTACCACTGTACTTGAAATCCTTAGTACTATGTAAACATTTTCCCAAGGGATGTTATAGGGGACAATATTTTGGGTAACACTATAGAGGCATTGGCTCATCATAATAACTGGTTATTATCCATTGCGAAGTCAGAGTATAGAAGCTTTCC